TTAGGAAAAATAAACCTTAGCGTCTAATGCAGCTAAATCACGCTCAGTTCCTTCGTGCTTACGTTGTAACGCTTGTACGTTGTTCAAATCTCGTCCATAATCATCCGATGATAGCGTAGCATCTTTTTCACCAATCCAAGCCAAAGTTTCATCAATGTCACGGTTAAAACGCTGCACTTGATGTGCTCCAAATAAACCTTCGCGTCTGGAATTCAAAAACTGTTCAGAATTTAGAAATCAAGCATTGAATTTCTGACTCAGCTTTCCGTTTTTAACACTGGTTAGATTCAGAAAAAAAAAAAAAAAATTGTCTAGACATAAAAATAAGTGTAAAAAGATTTTACCGAGTAGCAGCAAGAGTATTAAGACGATGCCAAGCATCATTAACTTCTTCTTTTTTCCGACTGATAGTTTCATACTCTGTATGGCCTTCGTCAATAAGCTTGTCAGCTGCCTGGTTAACTTCCGTTATGCGATAATGATGATTGCCCAATTCTTTCAAAAATTCTTCAAATTTTCGTTGTAAAACCTAAACGATAAACAAGTGATCTTTTCGACAAAAATTTGTGTAAAAACGTTGCTTCATAAAACGTTTTCAAAACTAAGAAACCTCAACGTGTTCCAAATCTTGACCAAAATCTTCGGCAGTAACGAAAGCCTCTTTATCACGAATCCAGTAAAGTACTTCATCGCACTGTCTCATAAATTGTAAAAGTTTTAATGCTTGTTGAAGCTTAATTCCTTTATCTTTTAATTTGAAAAATAATTGATCCCATAGCGAATGGAGTTCATGTAGTCGTCTCTGAAATTAGAAGATGCCATTTCACATCAGAAAAATTATCTCACTAAGTTTCCTAAAAAAGATAAAAGCTGCTGCCCTTACAATCTAAAAGCGACTGAAAATTTGTATTAATTATACTATCTTATACAATTAATTACCTTGAACTGTTACATTGCCTTAAACCTAAGCGTTCTTCTCAGACAAAAAAATAATTTTCCGTACAGCTTGCACTTTTTTCCCATTATCTGTTAATTTCAAAGCGTTGTCTATTCCTTAATTTCAATCTAGTATTTCCAGCAAAAAATCTATCTGCTACTTCCCTTATTCATTCAAAAAACTCTCGATTTCCTAATAAAGCGAGACGCTTTTATTAATTTTAACAGGGAATAATCAACATTCATAATGATCATCGTCTATGAAAAATTCATTCACCCTAATGATATCCGAAGCAAAATGTTGATGCTGTATCATATCAGTGCCGGTTTTATCAAGTTGCGATATAGCATTTGAATGTGCATGGACTTCGGCTTCAAATGCCTCATGTTTCTGGATTTTTGCCTGCAAACAGCAATCATGCATAAACTTTTTCAACAAAAAAAAAAAAAAAAAAAATGTAAACTTCCTTTCATAAAATCTATTCACGAGATTTAGTGCTCGTTTCAGCAAAATTTTTAATGATTCTTTACATTAAATAATGATTTATCTGCTTTATAGAATTATGTATTATCATGCTCAAAAAAGTTTGCAAAAAAAAACTTGTAAATTAGTTGGATCTCGAAATGATTCTTCTGATGCTGTTTGCAGCTTCTCAAGTATCCAAATTTCCAGCTCATCCGCATCTCGTTTGAAGTACTGGAATTGTCGTGCTTCTTCCAAACGATCACGTTTAGCACGAGCAAATTCTTTAAACTGTGCATAATGCCCAAGCACTTCAGCTCGACGATTCTGCAAAAAGGAAATAACCATGAAAGACGAGAAACACTACATACTTTTTTGTAAACCATTTAAAAAAATTTCCAAAAGAAATATTTATACATCTCAACAACCAAAAAGCACAAGCACTGCTTTATTTGTAATATTTGTCCTTTCTACCCCACCTAACTCTCATTTTTCCAATTATTTCACCTATCTGTCACAGAAACCTCACTTCTCACCCTCAGAATTAAGAAAACATTAAACGGTAACAGTAAGATAGTGTACCTCAAATTATCAACAACATACAGCTGCATTATGTTTTATAAGTAAGGTTGATAAAATTATGCTGTTTCACTTTTAATTCATCATGACTATTAACATTTCTAGTAGTTCATTCGATAAATTTACCTGAATATCTTCTGCACTTTCAAGAATCTTAATTTCCTGGGGTGGTGGAACTTCGAGAACAGGTTCTGGTGGTGATGCTATTGTACCTGACTGAGCCATATCGCTCTTCACGTTTAATTATTCCGTATATTTGAATAATATAATCTGATGCGATATAAAATTAATCTAAAGAGAAAGAGAAAAAATCAACTTTTAATAAGTAACACTGTTGAAATATACAGCCGAGAAAATTCAGTATGAATCAATCAGCAAAGGTTCATTCATACTACTACAAACACAACACTTTTCTTCAACACGTACACGCACATCACATCTCTCTTGATTCATATCAGTCGTCACCGAAATAATGGTGAGTAGAGATTTGGCCAAATGAAAAGATATGTTAGGTTTGGAGTTGGAAGAGACGAGGGAACGACAGAATCTAAATTGCAAAACGATACGAAACTCCGCAGTCTTTAACTGCAGCCATATACACACATACACCTACATACATACACAAACAGACATAGACACAAACACATGTACACACACAAGAAGGACTAATATCGATATTTGAATGAGTAAAGAAGAAACAGATGAATGTTGTCATTGTTGTTTATGTGTATGCATAGTCATGATGATATATGACAAAATATTTCACATTGTTGTAGAAACTATTTCAATTTTGTACGGAACAAGGAATGTTTTACAAAAGAAATGATAAATGAATACGCAGTACATTGTACTTTATTATTAATATGTGCATGTAACTCACTATTTTCAATAAATTAGTGAATTTGGTGAAGTAAATTTAATTACTAGTGCTTGTTGACGTATGCAATGATTATTTGTTAAGAAAATAAGTGAAACCATATTGCTTTCTTTTTTAAGCATTCTTTTGTTTCATTCGTTGAATGACATTATTGCAACAATCGTATATAAGCGGTATTTAAGCTACTCCTTTGTGTCAGTATTATTTTGTATAAATTCCTATATTGAGATTTTAATCACACAACAACATCACCGTTAGCATTCAGTGGTACAGCTGAAACCAGAACCGATATAAAGAAGTAAATGATGAGCAGAAAAACATTACTTTCAATTTTCATTTAATATATCTCTCTCCCTCTCTCTCTCCACCCTTTTTCATCATCTTCCACTTTTCGCAGGAACGGGAACAATTGGTGGAATATGTTAAAATCCTTATTAAGCTATTCCTCTTCTCCCATACTACGTATATGTTAATAATTCGATTCTTCAAACAGAAAGAAAATGAAAGGATGTGCGTTGAGAGGGAGAGGGAGAAAGAGAAAGAAAGAAACAGATCAAGATTCTGTTAACAAAAGCTAACAACAAACCATACTCTAACAGAAAACGAACTGGGACGGGAATAGTTTTTGACATCCGTTGAAAGGATCGACTTTCGAAATTCCATGAATTGTGTTATAACGTTACTCAAATTTTAATAATTGCCTAGGCTTACCAAACAACTTTCCATTACATTTGTAATTAGTTACTAAAATATTAAGCTACTGACTAACTACACTCGGTGATTTATACGAATTTTTCTTACTTAAATATTTAGTATACTTAAAATACTACTGGCCGTATTAACAACAACAAATTTTTAAATTTGTAAAGCAATAATAAGATAACCGGATGAATGTGAAATGAAATCTCTGAAAGGCGAGTTGTAAAAAGTTGATAGAAACAAAAAGCAGAAAAGGTAATAAAAATAAAAAATTTGAAACTTCAGCATGCAAACTGAAGAGAAATTTGTAAGTATAACATCTCGGATATCCTTATATTCCAGATGCTTAATCAAGCTAATATAGTGCATAGGAGATGGTTGATTGCTTTGCCTTATGAGTTGAAAAATAATAAATAATAGTAATAATAATAATGTCAAATCAGGATACTTAATTTCAAATTCGAATTCAATGATTGTGAAGTTATCTTTGCTATAACAAGAAAACTAACAATATTCAAAAAAAAAAACCGAAGATTGGACTCTACGAATAACACAGTTAACTATAAATGTAATTTCTAAGAAGCATCATAAATATGCTGAACAAATTCTTCATTAATACTTAGATTCTCTGGAATAAAACTTCAAAACATATTGAAAAAAATATCCAACTAATGGATGGTGTAAATGACTATAAGATTTCAAATTTTTCGTATTTAAATATTAATATATCAAAATATGCATATTATAACAGCACATCGTCAAATGAATTTTATTCGCTGTTAACATGAATGAAGATTGCTTTTAAATGAATGAAACGATTTGTGATGCTTCATATGTCATGAGCAACGTACGTATGATACGTGAGACTAAAACATTTAAAGACTTGAGAAACTAATAATTAAAATTAGAGATTTCAGAACGTTCTCTTTCAGAAACTTTAGCTGTACTACCAACTTTCCAGTCTTTCCAACGTCATTACACCAACAACGGCCCACGCTGCACCGGAAACGTTGCATGCCAACCAGAAAGACGGTGAACACTGGTGGAGAGCAGTATGCAAAATTTCGTCTCTTCTTCCAATCGTGCCAGTGGATATTAAGCTGAGCTTCGTTGAGAGTTAGCTTTCGGAGATGTTTGGGAGATACTTTCATTTCGAGTTTCTAATTAGCTTGGTTCTTTCACTACGAGTTTTGAAGTATTCGTGTGTTGAGTTTATGATCTATGTGAAGCAGTTTCATAACTATTTAGGGGGAAGTTTTGATGATCCGAATTCGACGATTGTGACACGACGTACTAACTTGAAACCAATTATTGAGCTGTATTTATATAAATATTCAGTTATCTTTTAGCAAAACTTATCACGTGCGGTACTGTCCACGTATTCTCGCTGACCTGGATAGTTATCTGAAAAATTTTCGGTCCGAGCTGGATCAAACAATAGTACTGATGGATTATTTGAGGAAACTCTTGGATTCAGTATGTCCACCAAAAGGCTGCCATACTGCTGTGTCTTCGAAAGCACCCATTGTGACACTGGTAACTTATGGTATTGGTAATCACTGGTAGTCTTTAATACTGCTAACCTAGAATATGGGAGAACTTAATAGTCCGGCTTACTTTTCTTGGTTGTCCATCTAATAAAACCCCCGACAAATCATAGACTATTGATCGGTTCGTGCTATTCTCGAATATACTGTTTCGACCAAAAAAGTATAAATTTACTAAATTTGGAAAAATGAGTGCTGAAAATAAGTACCGGAACTACGTCGATATAATCTGAAAATTTGCAGCTAAAAAACTGCAGTAAACTTTAATTTGAAATTACAAAAAAACTTACCAAATTATAATCTTGAAAAAACTTTTTTATGGTATTTATTTATCCTGGGTAAAATGCTGAGATTTCTTGTTATGTATCTTCAATGATAAGTTACCTTTTTATATCTTACCGTTTCTGATTTTTCTAGGGCTTTATAAAAGAATCACATTTGGTCCGTCTGGCAGGTTTCTCAGGTGTTTTGGCAATATCACTAGGTGCATATGGAGCACATGTTTTACGTGAAGGTGGAAATGCAGATGAACGGCGTGTTCGTGCTTTTGAAACCGGAAATCGTTATCATCTGATACATTCAGTAATGCTATTCCTTGCTAATAAGGCACGCTTCCCATGGCTTACTGTTTCGCTTTTCCTCGGTGGTATGGTAGTCTTCTCTGGATCTTGCTACCATTACAGTATGACTGGTAAAGACTGTCTGAGAAAATACACTCCGATCGGTGGTGTGATGTATATTTTAGCATGGCTTTCGTTCCTGTTTTGATCAAACTTTCCATATCTTTTTAATGTTAACTTTCCTTTTTTAGATTTAAATGTAACGTTTAATGTACTTCTCCACTGATATATATTTTGGTCAATTATATGTAAGTCAATTATATGTAATCCTATGCGAAAGATTTCTCGAAAATTCGTTGCAAATGTTATGCGTCATTAATAAAAGTAATAAATTATGTTTTAAAATCCTTATTGCTTCCAGAATGCTGAATTTTGGATAACATTGGCATATTTTCTTTGTTCCAAAATAGCAATTAATCCCAGAAATCCTATTCTTCTTGTTTCATTACATCTTGTAACAATTCATAGTTGATTTGTTGGGTTCAAAATCACAATATGTTTCCACTCTTTAAACGATGAGCAAAGAAAGCAGGAACAGTTCCAGTGAATTCCAGACTTAACTAACTTCTCAACTGATATAAGGGTAGTTATACATTCAAGAAAAGAAGGGATATTTTTGCCTTTTGTTCAAATGATGTACGATCTAAATAGTGCTCGTATTATACATTTTCGTAAGGAGACATTCAAACAATTTGGAAGTTTCCGATGAAGTTTGCGCTAATACTAATGCATTCTTTAAAAGTTTGTTCGAAAGTATTCATTTGGAACATTCTTGGAAAATATTTGAAAAAATAAAAATAGATGCTTTTATCAAGGGCTCACGCTCCGATCTTTTTGATTTTCGTGGGATTCCTTACAATTTAACAAATAAATTAAATGCATTTCCGTTATCATCTGGAATGGAAAAAATCTATAAAAAAAAAGAAAAATGACAGAATAGGATATGGGTCTAGAGATCAAGACACTGAAAAAATACATTAAAAATACGAATAAATTATGCGCAGCTTTCATTTGCTTGTATATCTTCTGCGCATGGTAATGCTGTGATACAATTAGCATTATCTTGACGTGTTGAACTCCTATCTGCAAAATAATCATTTCTAAGTTAAAACTTATATTACTTTAGTGTAAAGATTTTTAGGTTGAAGCATAATTGGCAATCTAATTATAATTAATGATGTATAAAGCAGAACTATCGATAATGCAGGAATATAATAGTGTAGAAACTGACAGACTTCTGGTTGTCTGTCTCTGCATTTTTCCCTTATATACTCTTTCTAACGAATCCACTGTGAAACTTATATCTAATTATGATTCCATCATGGGAACATTATCGTCCCTGCCTCGTAATACGAAAATTAGCCAACCATATTTATATAAATTATACTTCCACAGGACATTAAAACCGTACAATTAATATTATCATGATAAAGGGCATTGTCCAACCAAATTTTAAGTCTTAATTAGAATTTAGAAGTCAAGCGGTAAAATTTCAAAATTATGATCAAGAAGTTGAGATGAGTCATGGATAGACAAATGAACCATATAATCCTAACATTACGGATAAATACCTTTAGCATTAATAGACGAGGAAAAGGCCCATTTTGGAGTTTCCTCTTTGAGTACCTTCACTAATTCTTCGATTTCTTGCGTTGTCATACCGATTGCACAAGCAACATTCAAGTAACCGTCATGTTCTCGTGATGAATGTGAGCCGAAATTGAAGAATTCATAGCCGTCAATTGTTCTTGACAAGCCATTTGGTATCGTTCGAGCACCGGTGACACCGCGACTAAACAACTGAGCACCGAAAGCATTTTGTTGTTGGCTTGTCCAACCCTTCAATGTGACTGCTAAGGAAATCCGATTCATTTTAACTTCCATGACCTGAAACAAAATCAAAGCAAACTCCAGAGTATGGGTTTTACTCAGTCAAATGCTTGACTGATTGTAAGTTCGCCAAATGTAGAATCCCATGAAATTTTGATGTCAGATAATGAAAATTTTAAAGTAAAATCATACCCACCAGAATGTTTTTCAGGCTCAGTTTTATCACATTAGACATCCGAACTGATGATATCATGGCTTGCACTGCTTTTTTTTACCGGTTGCATACATAAGTGACCGGCAAGAGAAGTTCAACACATATATAACAACAGTGTGGAAATTATAGAGATTTCTTGACTTCAAGAAATCCGATTAATAGATACTACTTCTGCTGGAAGAGATATGCTGTCCTGCCTATCATTCTAACGGTTTGCTATTTTTATTCTATCTATCCATCTATTGATTTATGTATATTTCTGAAATTCCCTCACCTTCTGTCCAATGGTTTCAGCATATTCCTGCATTGTTGCATGCAAGACTTGGAAATTCGTTTGCTGCGTGTTATAAAGCTCTTTTAGCCCAGTTTTACCTAACTGCAACAACGTAATCAACAAATCACGCGATGGTACGATGGAGGCTCGTCCAGGATAGAAATTAGCTATCATATCCAAGGATTTTTTATCAAATGTTGCCACGATAGAACCACCTACTGGTACTAAGAAATTTTTATCCGTTGACTGTATAAAAGCATCGATATATCCTACTGAACCGGCTTCTTCGATCCGATTTCGACATTCTGATGATTGTAAACCGTAAGCATTATTTACCAAATGTTTTACACCATATTTGGTACATAATTCACCGACAGCAATTAAATTATCTGGCTGACGAGGAGCAAAACAGGAAGTGGTGCTTAGCACGGCGATAATTTCATCCTTTTGTTTCTCCAAAACAATTTTCAAAGCAGTAAGATCCGTAATCAGCCCATCACTTATCACAGTTTCTTGGATACCATCAATTATAATCGGTTCAAAGCCAGCAGTAAAAATGGATTTGAAGCATGATTTTTGATCAATACGTAGAAAAACCACAAATTTGGCGCGACGTTTCGTGTGTCGCCATGCACTCAAACATAGCGAAAGTGCCATACCGGTTGCAACAGGTACTACCATGGCTGCTTTCGTACTTGGTATCCCAAGACAACGAATAGCATCCAAGGCAAGCTTATTGGCAATTTCTGAAAGAATGGACGAACCAATGGCTTTTGGTTGACGCTCGGTTAAATTCCCAGATCTGCCGATTCCATGCGCTAAACCGTAATGTAGCTGTTGAACCAGTGGCGATAGAATACGACCTTCACGTTCGCCAGCTCCAACGCATATTGTATCGAAGCGATTATTAGAGTCTAAACTTGCTAAACGTGCTAGAAATCCCCCAATGGCTTGCACAGGCAAGCCAATTTCCGGTATACTACCATCACGCCTCAATACTGCTTGCAATCGATTAAAACAGCGTGCAGTACGATCACTTGCTTCTTGTTCGGTTTTCATTTTACTCAGTCTGAAAGTAACCGTTCCCTTAAAGTTTTGCAATACACAGTAAAATAAAACAGATGAGAAAATTTTGCCGATAAAATTCAAAGACAATTCTTGTATTCAAATTTTGTATCATTCATGTAGAGGATAGACAATAAGTAGTGTTTAACCTTACATGAATTTCCTTAACCGCAATTCTGAAATACCTTTCGCGAAATACCACCTGCCCCTCACAGAAGCCACTAATTTCTGCCTAATATTTCAAAATAACTATGCTGAAATGTTATTTCACTCTACAATCCTGAAATTTCTGGATTCTCGCATGCAAATATTACATACATGAAAACCAAAAGCATTGCTTTCTAGATCTTTTCGCAAATAAAAGGCATAATCCCAATCTCTTTTGATGGAAACAAATTGGACTACCGTCGTTTGAACAAAGATTAGCTGGAGTCTTTCGACTGATGCGTTCTTTGTTTTAAATTAGGGATGAACTAGGTAGGCTGGTAGGAAATACAGTCTGAGAGTCAAATGTAGATGCATGCATACAGTGTGCTACCATAAAATTTTATAACGAACAATCTTTTTAATAACAAATTTTGTTCAAATCATATGATATAAAAGCTTATTCAATCTGACAAAAAGAACAATATATCCAACAAAACATGCGATTTAACGATTTGATTTCGCAACACGTTCCAATTCGTCTTTCTTTTTGATTGCATAAGAATTCGACGACCCCTTCGCTGCATTGATCAATTCGTCTGCCAAACATTCCGCAATTGATTTGATATTACGGAATGCAGCTTCACGTGCACCAGTACACAGCAGCCAAATAGCCTGTAACAAAATTACACTTTCTCTTTAGGAAACAATAATAAGCTGAAGTTATGCGTCACTTTTTAGTCTCACCAAGTAGTAGGGGGATGAAACATTATTTGATGCGTAACAGAAGAAATAATTGCAGAGAGGTAAAACTTCAATTCAAAAAACTCCCAACTTTATCTTTCTCAAAGAAATTCGAAATATGTGCTGTCTAGGACTAAACAGAGGTTCCTGTTGTCGTTTTCTAAATACAATAATAAGAATGCATACAGTCTATATACATTTTGGTAATGACAACAACGCTCTTCAAATATAAAAAAGACCTGATTTACACGACGAAGAGGTGACACATCAACAGCTTGCCGCCTTACTGTACCTGCACGACCAATACGTGTTGAATCTTCCCTTGGTCCACTATTTATAACAGCGTGAACAAGTACTTGCACAGGATTCTGAAATGAATTATACCTTGCAATGAATGTTTAAACCCATAAAAGAAAAATCCTGTTTCTTCTGCGAGTTAAACTAACTTATGCTATAATTATGCACTACTTTCTTCTCTAATATTCCTTATCTGCACATTTTTGCTGCTGAAAGTTACTTAATATGTATATATCGAATACTTTCAAAATGCAAAACATCTTGAATTTTATCTTAATCAGCAGTATTCTGAATAAACTAGTTAGGAAAATCAAGCTCTTGTATCTTTATTTTCATGATACAAAATTTCGCACATTTCGTAGTTTGTCATTTTTCTGGATTTTATGTCTGAAATAAGACGAGCCGGAAAGCTAGTGACAAAATAAGTTAGTCAAAAAAAAAGAAATAGGTAAAAAAAGAGAGCACCTCGCCAGACAACAAATGAATTATTTCGAAAGCATGTTTGACGATACGCACAGTCATCAGCTTCTTTCCGTTGTTCCGACCATGCATCATCATTGTTGATGCAAGTCTTTCTACCAGTGGGCATGTCGCTTTACGAAAACGCTTGACTTGATATCGACCAGCACTATGCGGAAGGTATTTTGCTGATTTCCCTTTTACGGCAATGTAATCCTGCAAAGCACTGATTTGCTGGCGAGTTTCATTTCTATCAAAGCAGTAATATGAAAAAAAAAGCCTGAACCATTCATGTGGCATTAATTTTTCAATTAACGTACGTGTACTTGCTTCACTTTAAGGTTAAGCAACAGTAGATAACAACAAAAGCATACATAAAACTGACCACTAAGGAAATATCGGAAATGTGAACTTCGTCCAGTGACCATTTACCAAAAAGTTTCACTTCTGGTGCCTCTGACGGACCTAGTGGTTCATCATAACCAGTAACGTCATTTGCTTCGGTTACCCACTGGTCAGACATATTCACGCAAAAATCGCTTCACCAAATATCTGAAAGAAAAAAGACCGTTAATATATTACATATATTACAAAGATCGAGCTAGAAGATTCGCATATGTCGCACCCAGCTATAAACCTTACTGAACTGTACTATTAAACGCATTACATTAAGTATGCCAAACTAATCAACAATAAATAATGGATATGTAGACTATGCTAACACTAATATCCGATTAATGAAAAGAAAGAAATAAGGAAATAGCATCACTCATGTCCTTAAATTCAATCAACAAATCAAGGCAGCAATTAATATAACAAATAATTATTAATCTAATGATAACTCAACTCAAATATGTTAATCGATGAATGTTAACGATACACTGGTGAAAACAACACCAATATCTAACTGTCCAAATAAAATTATTAAATTGCGGTAATGAATTAAAGCTAAAATAACAAAAAAGACAATGATACAGAATTCTCGTTTTGCAACCTAAAAATTTGCATGAAGAAAGAAATGCCACATTTAAATATTGTTAATACAATTGCTTATCACTCTACTATACACAAATGGCAACAATAAACAGATAACACATTGAAAAAAAAGCCCTAAGCCTTAGCCACTCCAGCAGATCCAATATAAATTAAGCCTCAGCATTCCATCACATATCCTTGTGCTCCATCCGATTGGGACATTGCGACAATACACCATCTCACCAGAGCGATTGTTGTAAATTGGTTGTGTAATGGATTTAAGAACATATTTAACTGCTTGGTGATATATTTTTTTCATTCACGTGACGATATTGGGTGATGCTTTCATGAAAATTATAAATAATAAAAGCAACGTGTTTGTGCTTCAAAATCTAAAACAAAAAAAAAAAAAATATTCGAAATAGAGCCGTGCAATGAACCGTATCAGTTCCATCATGCTTTGCTCGTATGTAATTCACAAAATTGGTTAGATTATATATATATATATATATGTTTATTTATTTACTTCATTAAAATGCTAAGATTGTATATACATGTAATACTTAATTGTTTAATTCTGAATTTCATTATTGACGGTGATATCATTATGATTATATTATCATAAAATCGTTGTAACAAGAATCAATTGGAAATGAAGTATTATGTAGACATCTCCGAGAATATAAACGTATATATATTTGTTTATTTATTTATTAAGGCATAATTTCATTATCTCATCTTTGTTATAAGTATTCACTCTTTTTTTGCTCATTTACTCTCAATCACTGTTACTACTGCGATGCACACATTGAAACTATTTCTCAGTCTCTGTTCACTGATAACAATGTTATTTTATGATTATATCATTCCATATTTTCTCTCATATTCCAGTACTACTTCTTACTACCAATGTTTTATTTAGTTTATATTAATTCCGTTAATTTAAGATTTTACAAATGTCATTTATCCTTTGCTTTAGATGGTTAAACATGCATTGTTCGATTGACAATTTTTCTAGTTTATTTCCGGCAGAATTACTGAGTGACAAATTTGTCTTTTCTTTCTCCATTACATAAGCAATATTTCTTTAAACCGTGGAATTTCTCACAATTAAATTAAATGTTTCCAAACTTATTTAGTATCCGTATATAAATAGCCATATTACATCACTCGCATATTTGTGGCCAATTATATGTCTTTGGCTGTAATTGTTTGAGAGTTATTCTTGGCTCCACTCTTATGATAGCAGTCGATCCAATCAGAGGAAGTATACGTGAGGTATGTCGTTGAAATTAGAAGCTTCACTTAATTGCTTGACTTTGTAATACCTTTATCCTATACGAGAATTTTTTTTTCCGTTTGGAATATTCAACAACATATCAATTTATCAATATGAAAATAAATTAAGACACAAAAATAATGATATGTGTTCAGTAATCATCTCTCGAGATTTCCCATATAATCATCAATAGTAGCAATCTTCACTCATTTGTGCGCAAGTAACATTTTGCAATCGACGATGTAATGAGTGAAACGTGGGACGTTCCTCTGAATTACCGTTCCAGCATGGCAGTATAAATTCTTGGTAAAAATTGACAGATGAAAAGTCGGGCCTTTCCAAATAGAACTAAGAAATGGAATTTTGTTTTTAAAAATTCATGACTACTTAATCAATTTCAAAGATTATAAAACACTGAATGTTTTACACTAGATTAGGACTCTAATAACAGGGCTTTTTAAATAAATTTTGATATATACTGACTATGTTATTGCAATGATGAGAAGTTAAAAAGTAAGAGTGTATATAAACTAAAGCCTCAGAGGTTCCTAAAAAATTAAATAAATTCAATCCTTAATTTTCAATATAATAAAATAAAAAGCAAAGGCATGAATACATGCATACTGATAAGTGATAACAGAAGGTTAATGTAGACATGACATTTCCATTCATTTATTCACTAACCTTTAACATCCCATTTTGTCGCATAAATAATAAATTTCGATATACATCGTTATCAGTCATCATTTTATAAGGATATTTATGACAACCATTAAGGACTTCCCAAAGTGTAACACCGAACGACCATACATCGCCTTTAATTGTAATTTTTTTCTGGAAATTAACATAATTATAATAATTAATTTTAACTTTATCAGTTTATTACAAACATTATGAGCAACAAAATTGTATTCTTGTAACCATAATAATGTAAATTACTATTCCATCCTTGGTCTAAGTGTAAGAATAAACATTAATGAATGTAAATTATTGATACTTGTCACATCATTATTTTTACTAAAGTTATTTATTATATCTATTTCACTCAAATTACATTTTTACATTTTATTTATTTATTACTTCCTCATCTATCATCTGTCACCATTTACTATGTCTTAATTCAGTTGTGACCATTTCAAAATTCTAAACCAATGAATTATCCAAAGATTAAATTAAAGCACAAAACTTCGGAATTTCTCAATTCTTAAGTCAATTTTATTTTCAGTTATTAATTTTAAATGTGATCTTACTTCTGCGACTGCCTCCCAAGACATCCACCGCATTCGTCCACGATCTATTGGATCATCTGTTTCCAAGTGATCCAATGTATAAGCCATATTGAAATTGGTGAGTTTAACGGTACCATCATTAGCAACCATACAATTACTCGCCGAAAGATTTCCATGGATGAAATTTTTAGATTCCAAATATGACATTCCAGCTGCAATTTGCGTGCTTACTGATAGTAGTAGTTCAGTCCTGCAATAGGCTAATATAAATGAAAGTTATTAATATGAGATGTACATATCTATGCGTGATGTTTGTTGATTTTAAATCATTTTCTTACATTAGCAATTGTAAACATTTTGAAAATTTCGAAGAAGAAGCAATCTTTGACCTGTATGATATCTCATTGTTCAGGCTTCGAAGATACTGATCAAGATACTGTTCGATATATTCATGAATACAGCTTGTTAATACACCATCGAAGCAGACACCAATCACTTCTAATATATTTTGATGCCTTAGACTACTTAATTCACCCACAATTATTTCAAATTCTCTTCGATTATCACGACTTCTATGGAATGTTTTATTCACCATTGTACGCTGTTCCAATTGACAAAGCCAAATCTGAATTCTTAGAGTCGTTAAGGTAGAAATGATCAGTTGAACGATAAATTTGCTTATTGCTACTGCATTACAGTACTCGAAATAAGGCATTATTTCTCCTATTTTTTCGAAAAAGAAGAATTCTCAACAATTAAGCAATAAGCTAATTAACCAACCTCACCAAATCGACTATTACCCAAATGTTCATGAAATCTTAGACATTTTGAATCAATTTCGACGAAATTTGTTGATCTATTTGTATCATAACCGCTAGCTATTTGAGATGTCATTGAATTCCTTAAAAACAAAATGATAGGGAAAAAAAATGGTCAATTGATATTTGGGACTGCGAAGCGACATTTGTCAATGTTTATGGGTTCAATTTTTTTTTGTAGAAGTACTTACTCCATTAACGCATATCCTAATTGTCGTGGATGTCGCATACAAACATCATTTGAAGCATAATGAATTGTGGAATTGGTAAGAGATTTTGTGGGATCGCATATGGTTGTATTGTTAACTCCGATAATTTCCATATCATTGCTAGTGATAAGTTAGTTCAATTAACGATGCAAAGAAGTAACATAAAAAAGAAGTAATTCAATTTTATGTTAATCTCAGAATCGTTGCAATGAAGCATTGAAAATCTTTAAACAATATTTCAGCATGCCGTAAAAATCTTTGACACATATAAACTTTAGATAATATTATGCTTCATTTCACATTACTGAAAATTTCATACCTATGATCTGATTTTTTTTTTTTTTCATACAATAACCTTTACCACACAGATCGCTGATTAAAAATTTTCTAAGATGTCACATATTTAATTTATCAAATCGAAGAAGCATTTTGCAATTCATAGATAGAGTAATTCACAAAATAAAGGAGTATACCTGATGTAGTTTGGCTCAGCATATTCACTACCTGAAGACTGATTAGCGTGAAGTTTTTCCAATAACGAATTTTGCATGTTGTCATTGGTCATACAATAAGCATTAGGTGACGTACGCTAAAAATAATATCAATATTTTATTGATATTTTAATTTCAAGAGAAGAAAAATTTAAATCGACTTTTTGAAAAGGATACAATTATGATTATAATTTCATTCTTAAGCGATTATGAGATTCTAAATTTTGACTAGCAATTTTAAGCAAATTTTAATATGATAAATCTTGCTTTTTCGTAATCATTTCTGTATAATTTTTTACAAAATTCGAGTGGAAATTTCACTTAAAAATTTTGGATGATTTTTAAAAATAAGAAACCTTAATTGTTTGTTTTTCAACTGCCATTCGTACATCTTTCGAATTTTTTTTTAACACTATAAATGGTCCTTTTCGTGAAAATGCACGACGATAAATCCATAGCAAATAGAAAAGAATAATGAGAGCACAGAATAGGAAAAGAAGTGATATTATTACAGCTGAAAAT